CCACGTTTTATGAAAAGAGAGTGGCCCCTCTGTGCTCCAGGAATGCAGGATGCAGCCCACTGGACTGCATCCGATTCTGCAAGCACTGCCAGGGGCTTTGCTAGGGCTGCTTAAGTAGGAAGATTAATCGGACTTTGGGAAATGTTTTTCTAGTGAATRTTTGAGCACATTTGTGGAAAATAAACTTAATTTGCCAGAAATCTAAGTATAGGAAGTCTTAGTGTTACTGAGGGCAGTGCTGCTGCACTGCTGCAGAGTAACTAACTCCAGCTGCCATCACTGACAAACAACCTGAGCCTGGGACAGTGACTCCTTGAAATGAGACCCATGGGGAATTAAGTATAACCCAAGAATTAGCCATTAGGCAATGATTCAAGAGCCATTTAAGATAATGAACACACTGAACAAAACAACGCTCTGGTAAGTCTCCCCACGCAGAATGTATGTCCCACTCAGCAAGTACAACATGGGCACCCAGATCTGCTAGCAATTCTTACAAGCACTAACTCTGTTGCTGCTCTTAAACTCCAGTCCACCCAGCATGCTCTAAACTGCAGGTGCCTYGGGCACAGGAATCACATTAGACCCTCATTGACATGCTCATTAGATTATSAAAACAAAATTCAGCTTTCCATATATCTGGTTTATTGCCTTTCCTGACAATTCTTTCCTTAAATGAATTTGGAAAGAAACTTTCAAGCCTGTTCTGCACTAATACACATGGTAACCACTGGCTATAATTGCGTCTTCGGAAATTGTAAACTCTTGCTGGAAATACYGACTTGCAGTCCAGGGGAGTCATATTAAGTATTTAAGTGGCTTAGTGGTTTAGTTTACCTTCATCTGTTTAAGCTAAGCAAGTAATACAGCAGGGTTGGGATAACCTGACGTTTCTCAAAGCTCAGCTAAAATGGGTTTCTGAACTGTAACAGCAGTACAGGTTATAGATCAGTGCGTACAATGTGTAGGTTTATTGGTATTAGGAGATACCAAATAGGAGGTTTCACTTCTCTGCATCATTCGCAGGCAGAGGTGACGGCTGGGCTGCCGCACGACGTGTAGATGGATCGTGGCAGGGACAGTCATTTTGCCGGGAAGCTGCCAGCAGACGCTCGTGGCTCTGCAGCCCTCCTGCCAGCTGCACGGCAGGGCCGGCAACTCTGCAGAGAGGTGGCACAGGGGCACGAGGGCCCCTGAAGAACGCAGCTGTAGCAGCTTGCAGCACTAGCTGCTTTGTTCTGTAGCTGTCTTGGATATTAATGGGGAAAAAAATCATTTCTGGGGAAACGATACCGAGCAGGTTCATTTCCTACTGCAGTCAAAAGGCTCCGGCAAGCTCCCCCGTAACCTGAGGGCATTCAAGTTTTCCTCAGAGACACTCAGCTCCTGGGGGCTGCTGAATGTGAGGAAAGCAGACATGGAAAGGGAGGAGATCTCCTCTCRCGCCCGGGCCTGCCCTCCGTGCGAGGGGAAGGCGGGCGGCCAAGCGGCAGGCAGCCGCAGGGGTGACCGCGCCGATGGACGCGATGGATGCGCGGGGCCGGTGACAGCCCTCCCTCTGGGGAGCAGAGCACCCTGCCCAAATGCCAAGGGAGGCTTCGCTGCCACCACACGGTGCCACCACCCACGGACTCGAGGGACCCCCACATCTCTCCTAATCCCATCCTAGGAACCAGGAAAATTCCATTCCTGGAATTCCAATTCCTGGCCATTTCCTCCCAAGCCTAGAATAGTGAAGATGAGTATTAAACAACCTCCAGGGCTTGGAGCTGTGCTTACTGAAAAGGGTTCTTTTCCTCATGCTGCTGAGGGAAGCAGAAATGCTGAGGGAGCRAAAAATAAAAGCCATACCAGGGTACCTCACGATAATGTTTTACACCGTAAGTCACCTTTCTCCATTTATTATCTGACAGTTAAACAAAGACTGGTTCTTACCCTGCATTGAAACAGAGCCACAGATCTTTTATGAAAAGCCCCATATATTAGATAACCATGAGTGAAGGAAAGGGCAAACTTACAGGTACATGCATACACAAAGACAAGAAACGTGTCAACACCACTTTACCACTTTTGTATTTTATTGTGGAACTGAGTTTGATTCCTTTACATCAAATATCCTCAATGGAAGAGGGGATATTGCACACAAATATCATAAAAGCACTACATATTACTTTCACTGGAAACTAATTTTCTACATTAGATATGACTGGATAGAATAGAAGTGATGCAGGATTATAAGACATAATACCATACACAGCTGCAGACTGACACAAACACCATTCAGAACAAGAGAGAGGAGGTGTGTGAGGTGCTTCTCAGCCAGCAACAAGACTGTTTCTTTCCAGAGTTTGGAAGATCATGGCTGCATGCAAATGTGTGAAAGCAGACTTCAGATTTGCTCCTTTACAGTTGTGATTACAGCCCAGTCTTGAAGAGGGAGCTCCTGCCATCTGGAGCTCCTAGCTAGCCTAGTGCAGAGAAGCTTTTTCTTTTTTTCTTCTTTTTTTTTTTTTCTTTCAATATTTTTATGCTATTATTTCGTTATTTAATTTTTTAGATTTTTTGTAAAGCCACAACAAACAGACTTTTTTTTCTCTTTTTTTTATTTTAAATAGCAAACATTTTTAAACCAGGTGAATAATATAATTGCATTCTAAGAAATGCTTACCCCTAGTTGCCTTTAGTGTTTTGTTCAATTATTAAGTGAAAAGATGAAAGCTTACAGTTTCTTTCAAGTGTAAACATTGTACTTTTTCCTTTTCTAATAAATCCAGACCAACAAAATCACTGTTTCTCTCAAAACATCATCACTGAGCAAGAACCTCTGGCGACAGATGAACGAAGAGAAGCGTRTGACAGAAATGTCCCAAATGCACAGTAAGCGCTCGGCAGAGCTGACTTGCTTGTGGTGGGAGGGATTGAAAATTCAATTAAAAACTGATTAAATCTTAGTAAAGCTGAGTACTGGGACTCTCCTAAAATGCGTAAGCTATCATAGACGATTAAAAAAACCATTCATATACAGTTAGCTCCATTCACCACAGTTTGTCAGGTAATCCAAAAAAACCCAAAGGTGACTGCTATGGAAGATGAGGAGTAGAGGTCAATGAAGTCAGGCCCACCACAAGGCTTGGAGAAGGCATGCACGAGAGGCCCCGTTCAAGTTCAGGAGTGGGATGTGGTCTCTGAAGTTAATTCTTCATTGAATTTTATCAAGCAATAGAGTAATAGCACAAAGATCATGACTGGGGATGCTAATATGGATAATACCATCATTTCAATGGAGTGTCCTTTACACTCAAATATTGAATCTTTATAATTAGAGTAATCAATATCAAACCATGCTCCTAGAAATCTATGCTGATCAACAGCACTCATCGTTAATGTACACGGTACATTTTGATGACTGTTACTAAGCTAATTGTGCAGCGCTGTGTCTGGCACCGTTAGCTTAGCTCCACAGGCAGGAAAGACATTAAGGGCAAGAGGAGCTAATGGAGGAGCTCGTGTCTGTGTTACACCCAGGTGTGTCCTTTGACAGGGAATGGGTGGAACAGGCATTACAATACCTCAGAATAGCCAGACTGGGGTTTTAATAATCTTGTAGCAGCAAAAAATCAATGCACATTTTAAGACGGGCTGCAATTGCCTATTTAAAGGAAAAAAAATACTTGAGCCATCACAAACTTGCTTGGGGAAATTTAAGGCGTGATTCRAATTTCATTTACAGTAGAACCAAATAACTGCAACTTCACTGACCAAAGTGAAGTTGTTGCTGATCTACAGCAGCAAAAGTGAGATTATTCTCTGGACCACTGCTATACTTAAAACAGATTTTCTGCCAAAGCAAAGGTACAAACTGTTTGAGAGTTTGCSAGAGAACCAGAAAATCTGTCCCCACCCACTCAAAAAGTTGAAATCTTACCTATATAAGAAAGTAGACCAAGCAGAAYTGTAGAACTAATACAACTATTCTGCCAAATATTTTGCCTGTAACTTTGAAGACTATGTATTACAAAAGCGATTTTAAATAAATGATTATGAGCCCAGCCAACATGCTTGTTTTCACAATACATTTCCATCTGCCTTCTGTACCATAGTCATTCTAAGTTATCCTTAAGGACTTAAAAGGTAGAGCAATAAATAAAACAGCATTGCTAGAGATACCTAAGAAAAGAAAACATTTAAAATAAATCAAAACCCCCCACAATTGACAAACAGTAATTCACAGCATTAAATGGGCTTCAGGAGCCCATACTTAAAGGGCCCTAAAGCAGTATAAAAAAACCCTCATAAAAATTAGGAGTGCAAACGTATACCTATTAAAAAAATGCTATCAATGTAAATTTGAAATAAATTATAAGTAAAGAAAATAAAACAAAGTCATAATTCACTACTTCATGAGACTTTCTACCAGTCACAATGGTGAATCACAGAGACCAGCACACATCTATCTCCGTTTTGGAGGTCTTTACACCTTCCTCACGTTCAGATTCACAAACATCCTACAATGTAACAGCATTTTAACTTGGATAAAGCTTCTGAGACTAAAAAATTCAAACTGCCCTAAATCCTAAATCATGGAAGTGTTCTATACGCTGTTCCTCTGCAAGTGAGCTAGAGAGGGTGGAAAGGAAGAAGGAAAGAAAAGAAGGAGAGAAAGACAAAGAAGGAAGGGAAGAAGGAAAGGAAGGAAGAAGAGAAGAAGGAAGGGAGGGGGAGATGCGACTTGTTTTAGCTGATCATTGCTTATTCTAACTTCCTGCAAGATCTTTACAAGGGTTGAGAATTTAGGTGACACCCTTGTAAACACTTGGCAATCAACTTTTCAGATCCCATTTTCTGTTACCATCAAGAGGTTAATTTTATCACCAGGGTGCCCCCCTGCCTCCCCCAGGGTATTGGCAGTTGTCTATTTTCAATAAATGTTACCGCAATATCCATTCTTACCAGAACCTTAAACAACATTATTTATCTTATAAAACTACTAAAAAAAATTGCCTTCACCTGAAAATTTTTTCTTCGCGTTTTCCTGTAAATGAAAACTTTTGTTAAAAATTCATCTATTAAAAGTTCACGCAGCACTAAAAAAAAGGATCTGTACATTTGTTCCCATATTCACTCTTAAATTAAACAAAATAAGGTAAGACAAAGGAAGATTGAATACTGTACAGACTCGCAGATAACCTTTTTCGTCATCCTGAATGTTTCGCTAGGTTTTGCAACTCTGATACTGGACACCACTCCAATCTTGCTTCCACAGGACAAAAGAAGCTTGCGGAAAACATGTTTGTCTTGCCTTGTTGAGCTGTCCAGGTGCATCAATGGAGGGATCACATACCTAACACGCGTGACTCAGAGCACCAAGCCCTTTGACCAGTCAGGTAGGCTTCTAGTACYGCACATGCACACTCACACTTCTTTACTGGTGTGACTAGGATCCTACACAGATGTTTTTTTATAAACTTGCTGTCTCGACATTAAAAAATAAGTGCATCAAGTTTCTTTGTACATTCAAGTCACTTTCTAAGGCAAATTGTCTACTGTATGTACTCCCAACTGCTTTGGTATTTTGCTTCAGTTAATCGACTGTCGCCGTGGGTGTTTAAGCATGTGGACTGGTCAATTCTGAGTTTGGGAGGTGGATTTTCACTGGGAGCGTGCCTTAGACCAACATGTCTGCACGTGGAAAGAAAGGTTTTCAAATTCTGAACGGGATTCAAACTACTTGCATATTTGGTCTAGGATTGTTATGGCATGTCAGTATGCAGAGCTCAAATTAAAGTGTGGTAACTGCTAATGAGTGTTTAGTTGTATGTCCCTTCCTAGCCACATTCTGTTTCCTTTTATTTTCCAGCTAACAATTCTGTACCGTAAGGACCCCCTTTGCAATAGCTCAGATGGATATAAATTTAAAACTTTCTTGTCATGTTAGAGCATAAGCAGACTGCAGTAAGCGATACATCTATTGCCATGAGACTAATGCAGATCTAATTATTGATTACTTTCTCCTCCTACCCCTCTCTCTCTTTCTCTCTCTTTGTGTTTCTTTCGAGGGCAAATGCCTCTACCTGGCAGAAGTCAGTTGGGGTTGCTAGTGCATGGTTTCCAAATGTTCAGCGGAAATGAAACTGGATCTGTTTTTTCGCAGTAATTTGATCCCTACGATGGGAATACTGTTATTTCCCTTAGCAACCAGCAAAGACTGAAAAATATTAGTGATTTGCATCACCTTGACACAGTATAGCATTTGGCAGGTATATAGTTCAGCAGTTGAAATAGATGGGTTGAATTTTTAGAAAAGGTGTTTTCAAATTGAAGAATTTCTGGAAACAAAGTTTAATGTTGTGGTGCATGGTCTTGTTCTTACAGTTCAATCTTGCATGCAGGAAAAGATTCATCTTGCATAACAACAGTGCTGCTGCTTGCCAAAACCATGATGTTGAGGTCCTGCTGTTTCTCGTGGGTCTCTTGGTACCATTCCCTCATCACTTCGGAGTCATGGGTTGGGATTAAGGTCACCTACAACACAAAACAGGAGAACTCCTGAGGAATGGACACTGGCAAGAAAAACATCTTTTAAGAAGTCCTGACCAGCAAGCATTTCCCTTTTGGAAATACTGGATCTTTATGTAACAAATACACGAATAAGTGGGTGGAAGAGAAAATAATTAATTGCATGGATAGGATAAAATAACCACGAAGAAACAAGAAAAACTTGCAAGGTGCTGAGATGTAGCTTTCCAGAGAGGTAGCAGTCTGCATTGGTATCTCTTCAGATTATGACAATGATTTTTTTATTTATGTGTTACGTCAGCAGGGCATGTGAGGTTTCCACCTGTACATGATAACTATATAAACTGTGAAATATTCCCTTTTTCTCTCCCCTTTACAGGCTGCACGGTTTCTAAACTTGGATCCTGTATGCTACAGCAATAAGATCAAACCGCATTCAGATTCAATTAAGCCAAATGCTGCAGTAAACCCAACCCTTCGGGATTGTGTTTCGCTCTCATTTCCTTCCTCACATTTCTTGTTGAGGTCCCTGGGCTTTAAAGGACATATGCTACTTCTGAGGTGTTCCTGGGACTGAAGGGGAAGGCTCAGGGTTGCAGTCGCTGGAATGAGTGCTGCGGGTACGACAGGGCAGATCAGGAGGTTTGGAGGGAGCGGGGGAAGGAGGTGACGTGCTGTGGATAACGGTCCCTTCCTCTCCCTCACGGTGGTTGTTCTCCCAGCGCTCGCTAGCTAAGAAGGGACAGCAGCACTGGCAGAGGCCCAGGACACCAGGCTGAGCGGGAAGCTTTGGAGCAGGGAATGGTGCCCAGCATCAAACCACGCGAGCGCTGCCACTGCTGTGAGCAGGAGGTGAATCTGGGCCAAATCTGCTGTTTTGTAGAAGAACCAGAAAAGGGGGCACTGCCAGGTAAGATCCACTCTCAACTTCACCCGCACATCCTCTCCCATCATTACAGAGCAAGACAGCCTGTGTGCAAACCCCTGCTCCGAGCAGGGGCTTGTCTCCCAGAGGAGGTTTAATTTCCAGGCCGAATCACGAGAGAAGAGCATACCTGCATGTTACTCTCCCACTGGGCCTTGCCCTCCAGCAGGGAGTCTAGAACAGCCCTGCTGGGCTCCTCGGCAGCAGCGTCGTTCCCGCTCACCACGTAGTAGGATGAGCGGACCCTCTTGAAGAAYTCCACGTCGACATTCTTGCTGTTGCTGTGGTTAGGGATGTACACAAGATCCAAATACACCGGCGGCCCCGGAGGCACAGCGGTCACTTTTGTCAACTTACTATTGGCAGGTCCTTCGGAAGTGAAACAACAAAAGAATGTATCACAGACTGCTGAAAAGATGCATCGATTAATTATCATTCTTGCCATAATTACCATGAGGGGCTATCCCTAAAGTAGYGCCTATTGGTTAAACGTACACCTCTGCTTCTGTGTCCTCTGAAACAATTGTGCTGTTACCCTCCTACAGCTAACAACATACTCCAGTTTAGTTGTATCTGAATCACGACTGTACTGGGAAGAAAAAAAACTGAATAAATGTAACTAATTATATAATATAATAAAAATTTACTGCCACATATAAGCCGCAATTGACTAAGCCTTTCCCAGTAATATGCTACTATTATTCAATAATTGCTGTGCGGGGCTGTGATTACTGAATTACCATACAATGAATGGGAGTATTATTTTCCAAGTGAAGAAGTACAGCTTTTTGAAAGACTGAGAGGCACAACGGGAACAGCAGCCAGGAAGCCACGCAGGTTTGGAGCAGACTGAGGTTTGGGGGGATCAGGGCAATATGAAGCACAGTAGCYGTCGACATGCTAGGCTAGGACTGGCCTACAGCTACGTCAGGAAGCTCCTAAGAGTGAGCAAAGAGGGGAAAGGAGGAACTTGGGAGGCCAGTGAAACTTCCTACAGCAGTTGGTTCAGGGAACTAAGAACAAGTGCTTGCCTGCCTGCTGGATCCTTGGCTGCACACACCAAAAAACAATGAGGGGGAGCAAGTTTTTGTTTCTGTATCTTAGYGTAATAGCAGCTCGAAGAACATCAGTCAGAATTAAGTTTAAATACATGTATAAAAATACTGTAACAGACTCTGCTTTTGCTATAAACTTGTCATCAAGATTTGATCAATGATTATATTCCGATGATGACCACTATTATTTTATTAGTCTCTCCATGATGTTACAGAGGATGATGCTGGTAAACCAAATTATCTGAGCAATAGAGTTTATTTTAGGGTCATGTATTGTAATGTGCATATTGGAATGTGCATTGCAATTGCCTAATGTGACCTGCTGTTCATTATACACCAATATGCCAAACAGGCATCAGGATATGATGATATTCCCAAATTAGAGATTTTTTTTTAACTGTTGGATATGTTACAAAGTCATCTTTACCACAAAATAAAGTATGTGCTTTTCTCTAAAGTGTGGATACAAACAGCAAATTTAACAATACACGTGAAATTTTCACTTGAACGTCACTATCAAACAGAGCCTTGGTTTCAGCTCAAGCATGTACCTGAGGAATATGCTTCTGAGAGGATGAATCTAATATACAGCCAAAGTGCTGGAGATGTGTAAGGTATAAGAAACAATACTGCAGTCTTGAAAAGCACCTGCTAACAGAGACACGGACACTATGGTGTAAGAAAGGAATGCTGGACAGCATAAAATGGCCAAAGTACAGAGAGCTGAATGCTGGTTTGCAGCCACTGAATCCTAGAGCTGCTGCGCATAGGAAGGTTTCAGCAGGACATTGGTCCTAACAACTGCAAAGTCAAAGTATCCTCAAAACACTCTGCAACTAGACCTGCAGGAAACAACATATTAGCACAACGCCTCCTTGAATAATCTAATTCATATTGTGTTATTAGTGTACAGAACAGTCATTCAAAATGACATKAACTTCCGCTACGTTTAGTCATCACTGATGGCATAAGCCTTTAACTGGATTATGGGATGTGCATGTGTTTATTACTCAAAGTGCTCTTACTACAGTTGGGGTTAAAAAAAAAGCACAATAAAGTAATGAAAACACCCAATGTCTATAGAATTCTGCCTCTCACAAGATGAAATTGTATTTGCTATTCTTAATAGTATTGTGCCTAGATGAGTCTTATAATGAAAATGTGGCTCATTTCACTGGACCTGTATCAGTATTTTCAATTATATGTTCATTGGCCTAATAATTTAGACAACAATAATTTAGACAACTAGTACTAAGCTTTTCATATTTGATGCACTTCCTCTGAGGCTTCACTTTTGAGCAAAGTGACACAACAAGTCTCTTAGATTATAAAAGCTAATCCAGTGAATTCCATTCATCTAAGTGTAGCTGTTATGTGCTGGATTTCATTTAAAACATGGACTTTTTGGAGGGGGCTGATTATGCTCCAATCTCAGAGGATATAAAGGTAACCTAATCTAACTGCAACCACTAAGAAAAACTTAATGCTGGGGAACTCCTGACTGTCGTTTACCTGCAGTTGCAGTCTTCACCGACTTGGAGGTTGTTGAATTTGCTGCATTCTTAGTGTCCTTATCTTTTTCTTCCACTCGAGCCTTTACTTCTGGATTTGAGATATTTTTGGTTGCCTTCTCAACAGACTCCTTCTTTTTGGGGGAAGCCGTTTTGGAAATTTTGTCTAAAGCTTCCTTTACAGCTGGCTTTGGGGACGCCACTTGTTTTGATTTACCGTCACTTTTTTTAGCAGGAGAGGAAGACTTGGTCTTGGTCCCCTGCTTCTTTGTTTTTGTCTTCTCTTTGAGGTCCTTCTTCAAAGGTTTGCCCAAATTCTGGTCCACAGGCAAAGCCTCTGGATCAACCATGGAGACATCAGGGTGCCTAGGGGAAGGGCTGCGATCTTGCATTGGGACCGGTGGAGGGTCAATGTGTTTGTATGTAATCGTCTTGTCYGTCGGAATGGTTTCTGACTCGTCTTCAGAGTCAATGTTAGCATCTGCCGTGATGGAAGGGCATTCTTCAGTCTCAGGAGGGACATCAGAGTCAGTCTGAGATGGGGCAGACTCGCTTACCGAGGTGGGAGGCGTTTCATCACACTGCCGTGCTGGCAGCTTCCCACCGGAAGGAGGCTGGGCTCCTCCAGACTGAGTTAATGGCTTTTCTGGATCTTGAGACTGTTCTTCACTTGCAAACCACTCTAGGGGATTTGGGTTGATAAATGAGGGTGAAAGTTCAGTTTTAGGGTGTTTATATTCGCAGGAGGACACAAGACATAAATCGACATCTTGACGGGCTTCTGCTAATGATTTTGTTGGAGTAAAATGTCCACTTGCTTCATAGGCATAGCTAGTAGCATCAGGTGACCTAGTGGCCCTCCCAGTTGTCTCAAATGAGTAGTCTGTAGGATCAGGTGACCTACTGGCCCTCCCAGATGTCTCAAAGGAGTAATCTGTAGCTTCAGGTGATCTAGTAGCTTTTCCAGTTGTTTCACAGGAGTAACCCATGGCCTCCGGTGACCTAGAGGTCCTCCCTGTTGACTCATAGCAGTAGCTAAGGGCTTCTGGTGATTTAGTGGTTTTCCCTGTTGTCTCAAAAGAGTAATCCATGGGATCAGGTGATCTGGTGCCTTTTCCAGTTCTCTCATAGGAATAATCTGCAACCTCAAGTGATTTAGTGGTTTTCCCAATTATCTCATAGGAATAATCTGTGGCCTCAGGTGATTCGGTGGTTTTCCCTGTTATCTCATAGGAATAATCTGTTGCCACGGGGGATCTGGTAGTTTTTCCTGTTGTCTCATAGGAATAATCTGTGGGCTCAGGTGATCCAGTGGTTTTCCCCATTGTCTCATAGGAATAATCTGTGGCCTCAGGTGATCTGGTGGTTTTCCCTGTTGTCTCATAGAGATAATCTGTGGCACCGGGGGATCTAGTGGTTTTCCCTGTGGTCTCATAGGAGTAATCTGCAGCCTCAGGTGACCTGGTAGTTTTCTTTGTCATCTCATAGGAATAATCCATAGCTTCAGGTGACCTTACAGTTTTCCCGATTATCTCATAAGAATAATCTGTTGTTTCAGGTGACTTTGAAGTTCTCCCTGTTGCCTCATAGGAATAATCTGTGGCCTGAGGTGATCTAGTAGGTTTTCCAATTGCCTCATAAGAATAGCTAATATCCTCTGGCGATCTTGTAGCTCTCTCAGTTGCCTCRTAAGAGTAACTAAGTTCTTCTGGTGACCTGCTGCTTTTCTCCGAATCTTCCTTCTCTGGAGTGACTACAGGTTCTGGACTATGTTTTGTTAGTGGCTCTTGTAATGTGCCAGCCTGATAGCCAAATGCTTTCTCAGAGGATACTTGCAGTGACAGTGATGATGCGTGACTTGCTGACATTGCTTCTGTGACTGCAGGAGGTGAATCTGGAAAACTAGGAGAGTAGAGAGGAGAAGACTCCCTTGGAGTTAAAGGAGATAGGTCAGACTTTGGCGACAGCTTTTCTCCTAGGCCCTGCACCTTTTCTGAGGTAAAAGAATGTAGTGACATATCTCTGGGTGGAACAGCACCTGCAAAAGTTTCCTCTGGCAGTGGTGAAGTTACCTGGGAAGGTGTATGAGCTGATGAAGTTGAAGAGGAAGCTTCAATTTGAGAAACTGAAATAATTTCTGAAATATCTTTCTCCTGAGAGTAAGGTGTCTGCTCAACAGGGGATATCTTCCGTGCAAAAGTAGGCTCCTGGATATCTGAAGGGCTATAATCTACTTCAGTTGGGCCATTTTCAGATATATGGTGAATACTAGTGCCTACAGTAGGATATTCTGGAGACTGTCTACTAAAGTCCATTGCTAAAGACTGCTCAGGAGACTCTTGACCAAATTCTACTGACATAGTTGAGTGCTCAGGAGACCTAAGATCGTGCACTGGTGTTCTTGACTTTGCAGTTTTAGGTGAGAAATCTGGTGGAGAAATTGACATCGGCCTTGGGCACTCTTCCTTAGATGGAGACATTTCTGTTTCCTGAAACGTGGTTGGTGTTTGTACAACGGACACTGAAAGAGAATCATCAACTTCTGTGGAGTGAGGGGATCCAACCTCAGCATGCAAAGAGGGAGATACGTCATCAGTAGTTGGTTCTGGGAATGAACTAGTAGCAACAGATGCTGTAGAGACAGAAGCAACTCCTTCTATATGAGAATAGGTATCTTCTGCTACAACCTCATCAACAGGTGTTGCAGACTTGTCAGAAACAGTGCCTTCAGAAATCGACATTTTGGTATCTTCTTTTAAGGAACCAAACTGACTGATATCTATTTGTGTAGGAGAGAGATCGCCTGGTAACTTCCGCTCATCCAAGACCAGTGAAGACTGAGAGCTACTAGGCTCTGTATCTTCCATTTTCCTTTCTAGGCTGAAGCCTTCTTTAATTGCCATGAATTCCAAGCTCTTTTCATCTTGTTTTTCTTGGAAAAGGCCCACAGAGTTGGCTTCAGAAGTTGGGCTAATCTGAACAGGTGATTTTTCCTTTTCAGCTTTCCCCTCAGAAGGACTTGCACGATCTCTGGCAGGAGACTTTACATCCGCACTCAGAAATGTATCATAAGAGGTTTCTGAGCCTATCAAGGGTGGACTCCGTAAGGGTGAGAGAACTTTTTCAATAGGAGATTCTGAATCTGGCACAGGCTCATCCATGGGGCTTATTCTGTGTTTTGCAGACTCATCTTTCTCTTCACTGAATTCAAAGCTAACTGGAGCTTCTCCTGACTTTTCAGTGATTTCAGAAGAAAGCTGACTAGATTTTTCATCAGTGGGAGACTGATAATAAGGCGTGTGGCCAGCACTACCAGCAGCAGACTGCGAAGGAGATGCTACTTCTAATGTTTTATCTTCTGGACTTGCACAATGTTCTTCAGTTACTTCTTGACGTGCATCACGCAATGTTGCAACGGGGACAGGCTCAGCTGAGACTTTGATCTCATTGGGAGTGAGTGAAAAGTTCACGCTCCGTTCACTTAGTGGTGTTTTGGCAACTGGTGATGGAGGGGACAGACTCTCCGCTGGACTTTTGGTTGGGCTGTGTTTTCCACCAACATCTTCGGGATAGGTGTCTTTGATTTCTAATTTGGCAGTGTCTTGGATTTCACTTTCTTTTTGCCTATATACTTCTTGGAAKGCAGATTTGCAGAATTTGTCTTCCTCTAATGAAGAAGGTGGTGAGATAGTAGAAGCGGAAGCGTTATAGTCTTTACCTTCTGTGGCCTCTGTTTTGGATCCTTCCGATAATCCATTGAAAGCATCTGGAAACGGAGAGAGTTTAGGTCTACTAAATTCTTGAGAGTACAGAGACGTCTCATATTTGGTAATGTTCACGTACTCCTGAGAAGGTGACTCACTTTCCTCATTGTTGGTTTCATCACTCATAACATCCCGCGGTGTAGACATCTCATCCATTGGAGTTGGTTCACTGGATATTTCAATGGTAGACTGTGTATAACCTGACGTAGCAGTGAATTCTTCAGGTTGATCTTCTCTATTTTCTTCATCAGAAACAGTGGCTTCACTTTCTGAACCACCAGGTAATGTCTCATCATGGATAGAGGAAGCTGGCTCAACTGCTGGAGACTGAGGTTCGGAGCGTTTAGTTGGTGTAATTATGAGGAGGCCATATTTATCCTCAACTTCACCAGCTTCTGCAGCTTTGTCTACCACTGCCATCACGTAATCTTCTTCAGCTTCTATCTTTTCAGTTTCCTCTTCATCTCTGACATCTTCTGCTTTGTCTTCCTCCTCCTCTTCAGTTTCTTCAGTTTCTGCCTTTTCCACTGCTTCTTCCCTGTCTTCCTCAGCGCGTTCATCTGATGCCTCGTAGTCTGCCTTTTCAATATATTTTTCATCTTTAATTCTAGCATCTGCTTCAGTCAGCATATCTTCTGAACTCTCTTCCATTTTTCTTACTTCCTCCATATACTGTTTTGTGGTGTCCAGTAGTGTCTTTTCCTCCTCATCTTCTCGCTCTTCAGCTTCTTCTGTCTCTGCCTTTTCTTCATAGTCCCCTGCTTCAGATGATTCCTCCAAGCCAGTTCCTTCATCTTCAAACTTCTCATTGTCATCAACCCTGTGCTTCTCCACGGGTTCCAGTTCTTCAGGTGTCTGTTCACATTCACCTTCAGCTTCTGTGGTAGTTATGCCTTCATCAGAGGATTCAGCAGGTCCTTCATTATCTAATTTTTCTTTTTGGACTGTGCCTGTGAGTTTCAGTTCATCCTCTATGAGTGCARCTTTAGGCTTGGTTTCTTTTACTGTTTCTACTTCTTCAGCTTTCAGTTCTTCAAAGTCCTTTGTTAAATCCTCTGGTGAAGACATTAGGGACCTCTCAGCTTCAAGTTCTTTTCCGTTAGCTGCAATTTCTGCAGCTGCTACTGTTGCTACAGTTGTGGCAGCAGCTCCAACTGCAGCAAGGGCAGCTTGCGCTCCACTGACTTTAATATCTTTCTTCACAGTCTTAATCTTTCCCTTTTCTTTTGGCTTTCCAGCAGATACTGGTTCTTTCTTAGCAGGTTCCTCCTTCTTTTGTGGTTTAGGTTTTGCTGCTGTTTTTTTGGCTTCAGCTGAAGGAGTAGATATCTTCTTTGTTTCTTTCGGGAGCTTTTTGATGTCCTTTTTGACTTCTTTTTCTTCCTTCTTAATTTCCTTCTTCTCTTCTTTTTTAACTTCCTTTTTAACCTCCTTTGGTGGAGCTTCTTTCTTCACTTCTTTCTTAACTTCCTTCTTCTCTTCCTTTTTCACCTCCTTTTTAACTTCTTTCTTGATCTCTTCTTTCTTGGGTTTTTCTTCTTTTTTGATGGGTGTTTTCTCCTCTTTTTTAGAAACCTCTTTCTTTGGTTTTTCTTTCTCCTCCTTCTTTTCTTCAGGTTTTGCTTTGACTTCTTTTTTCACCGGCTTCTCCTTTGCCACTTTTGGTTTTACATCTGTAGCTTGCTTTTCAGCGGTTTCCGATTTCACTAACTGCTCTTCTTTACTTGTTACATCTTTTTCTGCCACTACAGGCTTGGTCTCCACTTTCACTGGTTTCTCTTTTTTGACTGGAACTTTTTCTTTGCTTTCTATTTTCTGAGGCTTTTCTGGTGCCGGACTAGGTTTTGGTGGTTCTGGTGTTTCTTCTTTAGATTCTTTTCTGACTGATTTGCTTGGAGGGGTCTTTGCAGCAGGCTTAAGGCTCTCCTTGCTGTCTGTTCTCTGTTTGAGCTTTGCTTGTTTCACAGCTGGACTAGCAATGTTCCCAGTTAGGTCTTTCTGTGTTACTGTTGGTTGTTTAAGGAAGTCTAAATGCTTGAGTTTTTCCAGTCCTTCTAAAATGTTATACTGGGTACTGTTTCCAGGAAACAGAACTCGAATAATTTTTTCTGCAGGGTTAGCTGGATGCCATACAATCAGGGACGAGACAGAGGTGAAATAGGATAATGGAATATCTACTTCTTGGCCGTTTGGTAGCAGGAATTCAGCTTTATCTTTATTAGTACCACTCCACTGTTGCATAAAATATTGCATCTCCTTGCTGTTTTTGACAGGATTAAGCACATACATCTCAAGTTTGCCAACTCCCATTTTCTGAAATAAAATGATGGGGTCAATGGTATTTCCTACATTTCTAAAAAGAGGCTCTGGTCTCATAGACAATTTATTTAAATACTGGAGAGTGAAACAAGCTTCCTCTACACTCCTTTTTACTCTCAAGTTAGGATCAAGGTTCTTCAGGTTCTCAGGTACATTGAGGAATACAACTCCTAAATCGGGCGAGATCAGATTTTTCATCCAGTCACTGTTGGTCGTAGACCCTTGGGACTGTTCCTCTTCCAGCTCAGCTATCTTTCTCTGCAGCATGCTATTGATTCCTGGCAGGTTATCATCTCCAATATGAGTGAGCAGAATGGAATCGACTCTGTCCAAGTGCCGGATAAGTTTCCAGAAGCAAGATTTTCTTTCAGATCCTCCATTGATGAGCATGTTGAATCCATTCACTGCAAACAATGCAGAGTCCCCTCTGCCGCCCGGAAAAATATAACAGCAGGGTTTGGAGAGTTTCAGAAAGCCTCCTGAGGTCGGAGGTTCCAAAATGTCAAAGGGTGATGGCACTTCTACTGATTCTGACAGATACTCTGTGAATTCAGAGAGTCCTTCCATTTCGGGCAATATGGAAGCTGAGTTGAGCTTAATATTAATGAAGTCTTGAAGGTTGTGTCTGTCAAGGTTGGAATTTTTCCAGTCCCCTTCCTCAGGGCAGAAGAGAGTTAAGCTGGCTTTGTTGGCAGGGTGTGTAGTACTTAATAACTCACCGATCTATGGATTTAAAACAGGAAAAAACAAAGAGATGCAAGTAAAATCTTTTTYTTTTCCCCTGACAGTTAATGTCAAAATATATAGCATCTCCTGTCCAGATAAAACCTTTTTCATTCACTTTTGCAATAGTGACTACCAGTCATAGCAACTAAGGGAACCTGTTGCTACAATTAGTTCACTACTGTCATTTTAAAATACAAACGAGCAGCTTATTTGTACTCCYTTCCTCAATACCCAAAGCTCAGCAGCACCCCAAGGTTTCCCTTTGCCTCCTCCATCCTTTATCGTAAGCTTTTCTGAGGACCACGGAGTTAACGCTACCAGCAGTGCCACCGCCTTTGCCCTTGGCTCATGGGTCTCTGCGCTGCCCCAGAGCACCGAGAGGAGCTGGCCCAACACCCAGGGGACCCAGGGCACCCTCAGGCAATACTTAAAGCCTGGGAGGAGGGAGGTGGCCCCTGGGGCAGGTCCTTCTTTGCCGCTCCTGACATGGGCTCTGCTCCACGTCACCTCTGTTAGCTCTTTCAGCAGCCTGGCTCCCGAAAAGCCATCGGGAAATTAGGTAAACGGATCCCATTTCTCTCTGCTTTTAATGAAGACATCAGCAAATTAGGTAAACCTCTTCTTTAAAAACAAGTAGTTCTGATATAAAGCGTCAGTACAAACTATGCCGACAGGGCATCTTGCAAAATACTTCAGCCTCCTTTGCAGACACTCAGTTGTCTGCTCAAGCTATAAGAACAGTTTCCATAAAGATGATTTAGATCGTTACAACTGAGTAATGTGAAACTCTTGGACCACGAACTGAATCTTTGAAAGAAATACACATACACAAAATTAATTATATTAGATTGCACAAGATCTCGGTAGGCCTATGCATTGTGTGTCTAGTGTATCTAGGTTTCCTTTTTTTGTAGGTTACATAATTTATTTTCAGCATTTACCAAAAATAAAACTCAATAAAGATGCAGTGGCTGTTATCCAAACAAAAATAATCCACCCAATACCAAAATAAAGCAGAAAATAAATATTTCTTTATGTTCCTTTGTCAACCTTATTTAGTTTCCAAACCATTTGACAGGAGTATAAATAAATCTCACCCAAATGTCAGATATGGCTTTGTCTGGAGAAAAAAAAAAAACCAACAAAAAAAAGGCAGAGGAAAAACAGAACAAAACAAAGTAAAAGGAGTAAATGCAGCCTAGGAGAGAAGATAAGAAAAACAGGAGAACCATTCCTATTGTTTATGGCAGAATAAAGGATAGAAAGACAGTTAAGAAAGGGCAGGCATCTTCTGGTAATGCTCAGCCCAGACAACGGCTCTGAAATGGATTTAGGGTCTTGAGTGTACTCCCTAAGCCCTATCTCTGGTCAGGGTTGAAAACATGCTGTTACGGAGAGACAAAAGTAGGACCAAGATCTCCTCATTTGGATGAATAAATCAAGTCTGCTGCATATGTAAGGAGATAACTTGAATACAGATTGTTTTTCATCTAAGGCCAATTTTCCAGCAAAATGAAAAAATATATGGTAATATATTTCGATACTGAATATATTGGGCCAAGGTTTATAGTTAGTTCTATTCCATTTATATAATACAGTACTTGACTTTCTGCTTCACGCATCTGGATTGTAAACTCTGCTCCTAAATGTTGGCATGCGTAATACAGACTGTATAAAGGTGCTATGACCATGGGCCAYTGAAAAATTGGTGAGATGGCTGGTGATAGAGGACAGCAAGTTGGTTGCAGAAAGGACAAAATTATTTTATATCCTGGGGACCACAAAGGGAGAAAAGACTGGTTTTCATCTGCGAGCTGCAGAWGAATGGGACATCTTCCCTGTTCTGGCATGGGAGAAGTTGGAAATGCCATTTTTAGGCATTGCCCACAGGGCGTTGAGGAAATCAGAGACGGGAATTTCGGTTGGAATTCATGTGAGAATCACCCGATGAAGGGAAATACCTACTGTCTTGCACATTCCATGGCCATAGGTTCAGGTTTGGTCCAGAAAAAGAAAAATGGACAAGAAGCAGGAATAGTAGCTTTAAACAACATTCATCAAACTTCACTGCATTAATGGGTCATCAGAGCACAGGAATTTATTCTTCTAACCACTAGTTAGAAAACCACTAACCACTTTTTTGTAGCACTCATTTCTAACCTTGTTTCTTATTTGTGGTCTCCTAGAAATTTCCCACTAATGACTCTTTAAGAACTGTTGCACACACAGCCTGCAGCACAGCAAATACAGTCTTGGTGTTGTAGCTGCAGTCTGCAGTTTTACAGAACTGTAACTCGTTGAACTGACAGTGACTTTTAAGGGTCACATCCCTTTCGGAGAGCAGGGACTTGCCCCAGCTGTAGCACCATACACTGAAAAAGAGGCTTTGAGACGAGGATCAAACAGGTACAATAAGGTTACATCGGGACTCCTGCAAACTCTGCATTTTCTGTGCTGAACTTTCAAATCTCACTCTTCTGAAATGCTTGTAATTAAATTTGGATACAAAACTCCCAGGGATGCAGCCATACAGTTTGTTTAAATATATACTTTACACAGCAGCCAAATTAAGTGTGACAGCTTGTTTACTGTGGGTTCCTGCCCTATGGGAGCTTTCAGACACAGTACATTAAGCAAGAAAACAAAATAACAAGTCACGAAACAAACGGCATTATATACTGGTAGAATTCATGGTTTGATACTTATATTTCTGGCATATGAAAATCGCAAGATTTACAGAATTCATTGGCCAAATTTTAAATACTAGAGCGAAGAAGTCAAGCAGTTAGGTGGTGAAAAAACTACAGCCATTCCAACAGACAGCCTCTGTCTTATTTAATGTCACATATCACTTGGCTGCCATCAGGCAAGAACTGGTGTCAGATTCAATTTGGCTGCTTGGTATGTGRATCATTGTTCAGAGGTTCCTTGATTTTCTTTTTCTTAAAGTTACAATTTATTTATTTTTCTTTTTTTTTAAGCAAATTACCGCAAAACGGAAGTAAATTAAATGCATATTTTGAGGGGAATTTGATAGCAAACAGTAAGGAACAGCAGYGTCAAGCCGGTAGTGCAAACTCCAAGTTAGTAGAGATGGCCATTGTTGGGCTCACGGAGTATAGACCTCCACATGACAAAGTATGGCAGACACTTGTTAAAGGGTACACACCTCTTGATCTGTGAAGATCTCAATGAAGTTCTGGAAGGAGAAGGATCCTGACTGGAGAATGAGTTCTCCTGTGTTTTCAAAGCACTGTCCAGTGAGCACAAGGAGCTTGTGTCTYGCAGCATCTGTGATCATTAAACGCACCTACAGTGAAGAAGAGAAGCTTATCAGTAATGGGCATTAYCATGTGTTGCTATATTCCTTGGAGAACATGCGCTTACCTTGCCTAATTTAAAACCTATTTTCCATGAGAATCTCTCGAGACTGATGAAATATTATCTTGTTACAGTGCTGTTTACCAAAGACAGGAAGAAAGGAACAAAAGGGAGAAAAGGAGACACAAAAAGTGGCTAGAGAAAAGGCTCAATGAGTAAACCAAACTAATGACATGGAAAATAAGAGTAAAGAGCAGAATTACAGCAAGGAGCAGAGTTACAATGAACAAACATATTTCTTGTGTACATACCTCCTAGTGGATTTTAACAGCACTGTAGGGCTGTTAGGCAGGGTACCTAGGCCAACTGCCCTATTGAGTGACAACTATGTGTATCAGCCACAGAGCTCACTGCGAGGCTGTTCATCTTCTCCCAATGTGCAGCATTACTTGCCATTTGGTTGCAAAAAYGTCAGTGAAAACAGACACAAACCAAACAGAAGAAATGACACATTTGGACTGTTGTTCCCTTATAACTTGAATCATTTACAGAGTTAAAGGACAATTCATCTTCACCACAATCACGGATTTGAACTTCAAGCACTCAGATAGTTATATGTACCATTTACATCTCATCATGTCACTATAGACACTTTAGCTTTTTAAAAGGGGATAGCACAGATCTTTTTTCAATATATTTTAATAAATTATGTCGATGCATGATGGCTCTGACCTTCTTCTGCATTTTGAAATAACTTCTAACTATTTCAAAGTATTTTCTTTACTTTCTTTGAACCTCACTACAGATAATAATTCTTGCTTCTCCCCAGGGGAAACTTGTATGCTAAATAAAATTCATGTATCTAGAAATCCACTGTTGGCTGGATTCATCCTAAATGCAAGCAAAACCTTTGCAAGATTTTGTATTATTAAATAAACCTTTTGAAAATATTTCCAAGGTCTTGTTCAAACTGAATATTACCTTTAGGTAAGGTATGAAGTTCAAGTACAGTAATTCCTCCATTCAGGGAGGATTATGTAAAACCAGAAGAGGACACTGATTCCAGAATAAGACTATCTATGTATTAAGCCAAATAAGAACCATTCCCATGTAGATATTGCATCCAAACTCCATCTCCAGAGAGATGACATAATCACCTCAGCTTTGCTAGTARAGCATTCTTTCAAATTTATATGTTGATTGTTAAGCAACCAATTGCTCTAAATAATTCCCATCTCGTGCTAGGAAGGCTGAGCCAGGAAAGCTTGACCTAAAACTCTGCTCAACAGCTAAGACTGCTGTAAACGCAGAAAGGAGCCACTGAGGAATATGGATGTTAAAGATGCTCCCAAATCTACCACATCTTCATTTTTATTTTATTAAATAAATAGCCTTAACTTTGAGCATTGTAAAGTTCCTTTAATTAAAAGCGGACCTAAATGCTGGTTTGTCACCAATTGTTCTAGATGATTAGGAATGCAGCAATATCCTTGCTGAATCAAGTCAATCTATTTCTATTTCAAACAAGAACATAGATAAGTGCAGCTGGCTGTCTGATGTGCGTTGTTGAAATCTCATCTGYTTTAGTTGTATTAAAACCATAAAAGAATTGGCTTCCCTTTCCATTTTTTCTGGTTGCTGGCAGCAGTTCTAGGCAGTGTGCCAACCTATGTATAATATCACCAGCTTTTCCAACTGCAAAATTACTTCCTGACTTGTGAATCATCGATATGTGACTATCACACAATCCCCTTTCAACTTATTCTATTAATGATGGTGAAATAGGCTTTGCAGAGCTAAAAAACTACAGKAAGAGAGAAAAATAAATAAATGCTTGCAGATATGCCATATATGATATACATGAAAGAACTTTAAGGGACACATAAATTGTGTGTCTGAATATAATGAAGGTCCGGGAGGACCACCAGAATTTTGTCAACTGATTTCAAGATGATTACATTTAAGAAGAAATGTGCTAGGTGATCATTCTGCTCAAATTTACCCTTGGTTGAAGCTCTAAATTGTTTAAAGAAAGTGACAGCAAGATGTAGCCTCAGTCAAAATTGAGTTAAAGACAGAGCATGAACAGAGACAGGAGAGTAAGGAGATCAGAAGTTTCCAAGATTTGTGGTATAACATCTTAGAACAATGGAGTGAAATCTTCTAAAAAAGGAAGTAACTGCTCGTGGGGTTTTCAGAAACTTGCTTTCTTTGGGCAGCTGTCATCTCTCTGTCTTGGCCTGCTTTTTTGGGAAATATTTGGTAGCTGGCTTAACAGGACAGGAGCCTCGGGTCTATTCATGCTCAGAAAACCAACAGTATGGCAATTACTAGACACATTAGCAGATTAGCAGTACTGGAATTTCTTTTAACATCTTTGCCTTCATTTTTCCTGAACAGATAGATTCAATTTTCTCTTCTGATGAAGTAATATCCATGATATAGTGCTGTCTCCCCAGATGCAACCTGGAAAACTCTTGAGATAAGAAACTAAATTTCATATTTGTCTTAATGGGCAAAGCATGTCTCTTCCACCTCCTGATTTAATTCCTGCCTCTTTCTTATCTCTTTTTTCTTTGGCTTTTGTCCAGTGAGAGTCTGGCTTAAGCAGCCAAGGTAAATCTCAGCTTGTAACTTCTGGCTGTGACCAGTCTGGCAGGASGAAAGCAAAGCAAAGATTGCCTCCCAAAGACTAAGGGGAGGAAATTAACAGTAACCTAGCCAAACATCTCCCAGAGCCAAAGGAATAGAGCCAGGATTCAGAAGTCATTAATTGGCTTCAGACCATGTCATTCCAYGTGGTCATCCAGCAAAGGAATGACAAGTAATGGCAACAGAAACAGCATTTCTGCACTTCTAGACATCCCTTCTGCTCCCCCCCACCCATTCGCAACTTTTTTTTCCTGAAAGCCACCCTGAATRTGCTATTAATGAAGAACTTCAGAGCTACTACTTACTTTATTCCATACCAAATACCAAGGCAATGCAATATCAGAGATTTTCTAGCTCAGTGTTGCAGTGAATGAGCTGCTGCTATGATTTGCTTAATTATTAAAGCTTTACACCTTTCATTTGTTTCAGTGGGTGTTTTTTCCTGTTTGTGTTTAACATCACTAATACTTGATAAAAAATAGATTTTTTAATGAAGTACTAGAAGCAGGGTCACTTCATTTCCCAAGAGAAAGCTTATCCTGCTAGTGCTTTACAGCACTGTCTAGCAGTGCAACTATCCCTAGTTTTTCAGCCTTCTGAATCTTACTGGCTAAATTAATCTGTCTTCAAACTGAAAGCTCAGTTCTTTGGATCTCTTCTTGTTAGTTCATGAGGATCTGCAGCCCTCCTTGGGGGCATTCTCCACAGCCCATTTATAACATCTTTTTTTTTTTTTTTTTTTTTTTTTTTTTTTTTT